ATAAGGAAGAAAGATGAGGGCCTTGAGCATCAGGATCACATGCAGGTAGAGCTCCAGATTGGATGTGTGGATGGTCCTGGTTCCCCAAAACAGAGTCTATCAGCTAGCTGGGTCCAACCCAGGAACGTGCCTCCTTTAGCGGGAAGGAAGCACACGGAAGCCAAGTCTTGTTTGTGATCTAGTCTGACCCCATCACAGTACTACCATCAGCCTCTGCCACCATGTGAGTCTTCAGAGGCCTGAAAAAACCTCTGCTCTTACTGCACACCAAATATTCTGCTAATGTGGAAAGAAGAAATCCTCTGCTAGGAATAAAGTCTCCCACTTTACATGGAAAGACAATTTGAACATGAAACTACTTCCAAGAAAAGTGATGTGTTGGCTGAAACTCATGCATGTTCAACAACAGATGAGGGACGTGGGGTGACTTGTAAGTGTGTTTTAATATGGGAAGGAGTAGTCTTAGGAGTAGGAAAATGAGGATATTGTAAGGAATAGGGGGGACAGAAGGGGTTGGCTCTAAGGACAAATGTCACCTAATTTACAATTGTTCACTGTGCACTTTGCCAGGAGATGGCAGCCCTCCACCCCTCCCTGAAAGAGCTGAGGCATTTTACAGCACCCCCCAAAATTAAGCTGGTCAGTGATCTTGGCAGCCCTATTCCTCCAAGGGCAGTTTTTCCTGCCCTTGGAGGAATAGATAAGGAGGATACAGCTTTGACAATCTTGATTGTCTGGTTCATACGATAACAACCTAAGCGGTTTTAGAGAAGTGGGTGTTGGTTTGGCACCATTCTTACCAAGAGAAGGGGCTGAAAGTAAAACAACTGTTGGGTTCTACTGGCTCCTGAGGAGCCTCAGGTGGGTTGAGCTTTCCTAAGATCCCTTCTTACCCAAACAGGTATCATATCAACCAGTCACTGAGATCCCAAAGCATTAGGGAGACAGAGTGAACCCTGTGGGAGCAAGAAGGGTGTCTTATTCACCATTGCAACCCCCACAGAGCACAGAGAGTAACAAAGCAGAGACTTCAAGTGGGTGTTAGATGCCCAGACAGAGTTAAGTAACATGCTCAGTGATTTACGCGCACTTGGAAGTCAAATCCAGATTGGTCTGACTCACGCCATGATGGTTTTCTCTCCACCACCAACACTTTTTTTTTTTTTTACTATTATTTTGTTTGTTTTGTTTCAGCACATTTTTTCTTGGTGCATATAGTTGTTAACAACGGTGGGGTTTGTTGTTACATACCGGTACGGGCACACAATAAAACAATATAGTTTGGCCAACTTTCGCCCCAGCACTTCCTCCTCCCTCCCCTCTCCCCACCCTAGAACTTTCCCTCTATTCTACTAATCTCCCTTTGCTTTTCATGAGATCACCTCCTCCCTTCTTCTCCTTCTTCCTCTCTAGCTTCCACACATGAGAGAAAACATATGACCTTTGGCCTTCTGAGTTTGACCCATTTCATTTAACATCAAGGTTGCAAGTTCTATCTGTCACAGTCTTTCCTCTTCCATTATTTGAACTCTATTGTGACCATTAAATGGGCATCCTCATCTAATTAATGGTGTAGTTAAACATAATGCACTTCTTTGGTGATAACAGGGTTCTACTTAATCCATGAAGTCCCAAGTTTTCAGTTCTGTGAGTGTATCAATAAAACTGATACAAATGCATTAAAGTAGGTTGGAAATAATCTAGAGCTTGTGTAATGTGGATTAATATTAACATTAGCATGTTATAACATAACCATATTATATGTGAGAATGTTGTTTTTACATGGCACTCTACGTTTAAGTTTTTATTGGTGTTCCACATCTGGGATGATGAAACAAAATGGATTAGTTCAAGGAGCAGAACCACATTACACTCCTCTGCACCGAAGAATTCCTCCATTCATTCAACAAATAATTGTAAAGTGCCTACTGTGTGTGTGGCTCTGGCCATGTGCATCATATGGCCAGAGTAGGGACACAGTGGTCCCTGCCTGGCCATTTGCATTAGTTTGGAGGTCCACGTCCTCTCGTGTCACGGCAGCTTTGGTAAAGCAGAGCTGCCTGGTCGTCCCAGCTCACTCTGAGCAGCTGCTCCTCCAGACCCTGCTCCTCTGAGATGCTGACAGGGGAAGAGAAAGATGGATTCCACTACAAGAGCTTCCAAGCCTTCCGCTGAGGCTTAAGTCTGGCCTGAGCAGATATATTTGGTTACACATTAGGGATTGTTTTCACTCAACACTAAATTTTATTAAGATTTGAATGATGAAGCGAGACGCTGTGGTTAGGAAAACAAATGCCGAATGCCTTTACCTTGTTGGGAATCGCCTGGCGATTCTGAAAACTCAGAGACAAGACGTGCTTTATTCCATATGAGGATTTTCCCAACGACATCCTAAAAGGCAATTAGGCTGTCGTTCTATGTGCTCGCAACAACTCAACTTTTCCAATTTTTAAAGTGGCACGGTTAAGTAAAACTCTCTGTATCGTAAAAGAGATCGTGTTGGCACCGCCAAGCATGGCCTCTGCCAGGCTTTTTCTGCCGTGACGACCTTGTAGCATCCAACCAAACCTATAGGAAGAAGCCAAGAGAACCATTGTTGAGTCAGGGTCTCCGCACCCGGCATTGTGGACAACTTTGTAAGCCTCAAGTCAAGAGAAACAACCCCCAACTCAATGATGAACTCTAAGCCCAGCTGGGAGCCATTGTAGACCGAGGCTTGCAAGACAGGGATGGTGTCTGTGGCTGTGCAGTGGTGCCCCGTATCCAGTGGTACCCCGTAGGCACGGCCATAATAAAGTTTAATTTATAATAAGGCACTATAAGATATTAACAGCAATCCCTCATAATAAAATAGCACAATTATAACAATATACTATAATCAACGTCATTTAACACTCATGAGCTCTTTACTTCTGGGATTTCCATTTCATGTTTTTGATGGTAGTGAACCATGGGTAATTGCTACTTCAGAAGGCAATACGTCCCACGAGGACCCCTAGGGGATACGTATTGACGATATTAAAGGAAACTGACTTGTCCAGTCCAGTGGGCTTAATGGAAACACCATGTGCTCTTGAACCTTGGTTCTGTGGTTACTTATTGAAGAAAAGATTGAAAACACAACTCTAGGGGATCCCCAGATGAGAGCCAACGAAACTCTAAGCTACTGTTGTGTGAGTGTGATGCATGTCTGTTTCCAGGGCCTGGCTTGTGTTACAGGACCAAGGACAAGACCCCTTTTCCCTGGTAGGTGGACGGAGATGCCCTTTGCTGTCACTTACTGCCTTAGTGCATCTTGCTTTGCCCCCTCCTGCACTCCACGCCTGCCATTTCACCTCACCCCTCACACCATCACTCCTGAGATACCCTCTAAGTACTCCTAGCACGGACTATCATCACACTAGTTCGCTTACCCACCATCTAAATAACCTCAAATGAACATTTAGCTAAAACTTTATTACCAAATCTAATTATTTTGCAAAAACCTAATTACAGTTACAATAACCTGGAAGTAGTGTAGCTCTTATTATTTGTTTTAGATTCCTAGAGTTACTATAACAAACTACCACAGATTGGACAGCTTAAAAAAATAGAGGTTCAGCCTCCCACAGTTTGGAGGCTAACAGTCTGTAATCAAGTGTCCACAGCACCATGCTTACTCTGAAGGCTGTAGGGAAGAAACCTCCTTTCTAGAAGCTTCTAGCAATCCTTGGATGATCACAGCATCATTCCTATCTGTTCCTCCACCTTCACAAAGCTTCCTTCCTGCAGGTCTGTCTCTTACCTTACAGGAGTTCTGAACTTTTGTCCAAATCTCCCTTTCCATTGTCTTCTAAAAACCACCAGTCATTAGATAGATGCAGGGTCCGCAATGATCCTTGACTGACTATATCTGCAAGGACCCTGTTTCCAAATAAAGCCACTTTCTGAGGTTCCAGGTGAACATGCATCTAGGGAGAGGGAGGACCCACCTCTCAACCCCACACATTATTCCTTCATCCACTTTTTGACAAACGAGGAGATTGAGGGTCCAAGGTCAGTGGCTTACCAAATTCCAATTTTTAACTCTTCCCTCTTGTCTGTCCTGTAATGTGTGCTAACTCCTGAGTGCCCTCTGCAGGGTGGGCTTTTGTCTCTGGGCCTCGCCACATCTCTAGGAGATAGACAATGTCAAGAACAAAGAAACTGAGGCTCAGTGAATCTTATGGGTTTTCTCAACGAAGAATTACCCAAAGAGAATGGAGGCCGGAGCTCAGTTCGGCTGGCCCTTCTCCCATGCAACACAAGCTGAATCAAATCCTGTTTGTGTCCTTCATGATGTTTGAAAACCCAAGGTCAAAACGTCAAGCACCTTCCTTTCAGGCTTTCCGAGCCAATATGGGAGGGGCGCAGGCTCAGGGAAACCTCCTTATTGTGGAAACACCTCCTTCCTGAACCCCAGAAACTTTAGTAGGAGAAATATGGGCTGGGGCTGGGGCTGTAGCCCAGAGCCAAGCGTAGGCTCTGCATGGCTGAGACCGGTGAGGGGAAATGGAAATGCTAAATGCTGCTAAGGGGTCGTTATGGTTTGAATGTGTACCCCAAAAGTTCATGGGTTAGAAACTTAGCCCCCCAAATTCATATGCTAAGCAATTAGGATTAGATGAGGTCATGGGGTCAGGGACCCTCACGGTGACATTAGTGACATTATAAATATAGGAAGAGAACTGAGCTGACCCACTTGCTCGCCTCATGATGCCCTGGGCCGTGTTACGGCACAGCAAGAAGAGCCTCACCAGAGGCTGAGCAGATTCTGGTGCCCTAGTGTTCAGCCTCCCAGCCTCCAGAATTATGAGCCAGATGAATTTCTACTTTTTTATTTTTATTTTTTGGCAGTGCCGGGATGAGACCCAGGGCTCTGTGAATATTAGGCAAGCCAAGCGCTCTACCACTGAGCCACAAAACCAGTGTATAAAATTCTACTCTTTATAAAGTACCTAGTCTGTGTTATTCTGTTACAGCCATGGATGTGGATCAAGACGGGCACATGGCAGGACTGTCCAGCCTTGCCTGCATATTTGAAGTCACTGAGGAGCTTGTGAAGATCCTTTTGCTCAGAACCCTCTTCCAACGATTCTCCAAAGATTCCTAAGTGATCTGGACTATGCATTGGGCACAGGGAGTTTTAAAAACACTTCCAGGTCACTCCGACGGGCAGCCAAGGGGGGACACCACCTTGACTCCTGATATATGGAAATTCTCCTTTGATTTTCTTTGGAAATGGAGCAGCTGAAGTCTCCAGGCTGCTTTAACACTGCGTCTTCTTAAGACCCACTGCCCGAGTTGATGCTAGTGCTCAGCTAATCTTGTGGCATGGCTGACTGCCTGGTCTCTTTGGGTGGACCGGCAGAGGTGACATTGAGACAGAGTGCGGGCCAGGCTCCAGGAGCGGATGCGAGGCCCCTGCTGAGTTTACGGGTTGGTTTTTTCCTGCTACCGCAGGCCTCCATGTACCTTGCTATGGGTTAGAGCCCAGGCTGCAGAGCAGAGGCTCCTGATGGACTCCTGCTGCACTCAGCAGCCTTCAGACTTGAACCCCACATGGGCTCTTCCCTGGACCTCAAGCCTGCAGACTCTGGACCTGCCAGCCTCCGTCACCAGGTAAGCCAGTTCCTTAAATCCTGCACATATACACACAGTACCCGGTGGGTCCCTGACCCTCCTCCACCCTCCTCTACCTTGGTTCCCCATCCGCCTTCCTCTCCTCTGCCTGCTGCCTCCTGGCACCCGCCCGCCCTCACTCGAAGGCAGGCTCCACGTCATTTTCCTGCAGCCCCTGTGACTCATAGGCCTATAATAACCCTCCAGCTTCCGCTTGCCTCCTCATTCAAGAGTCTCCCCAAATCCCACAGCATCCAATCAAAGCAGCGGCAGCCTGTCCTCCCTCGGATGAACCCGTTCAGAAAGAAAACCCTCACGTGTGAGTGCTGCTTTGCAAATTAACTTTCTGAGACCCCTCCACACGTGACAGTCAGGGGACTTGTTTCGTGATGCTCTGTGTGGAGGTGGGGCTGCAGGGGGCTCCTTCTACAGTGACCTGTTGGGTTTGGCCGCGGAGGCTCTCAAGGCCACGGTCTTGGGTGTGGCTTCCTGAAGGGGCCGCTAAAGCCAAACCCCTGCTTCTGTCCTGTTCAGTAACATGGCTCACCAGGTGACAGGTAGAGGCGGCAGGAGTGAGGGAAAAGCCATAAAAGGCATGTGTCCCCTTGACTGTGGGCCACTGTGCCCTCCTCCTGGGAGCAAGGCTCATACCACACACTCAATGGGAGCAATGATGCATATGTCATCAGCAAGGAGCACTGTCATGAATCTGGTGGCCCGGAGACCCCCTGTGTTTACCTGCGTGCATCCCAGCTGCAGAAGACCATGACGGCTACTGCAGAAGCCCTGCACAGCTCTGTTTCGCACTGCCTGCACGCTGTGGGTAGTGGGGCTGGGGGCTCCACCCTCGCCTTCCTCCCACATGTGGGGAACAGTCCTTGGGCTATTGCAGCAACCATCAAGCCACACTCCCAGCAGACACCGAGTACGCTCCACCAGGGAGGCACCATCCCCAAACCCTAAATGGCTCAAAGAGAAGGTGGTCTCAGGAAGAAAGCCCAAAGTACTCTAGGGGGCTACTAAAATGTCAGCGTGAAGGAATGTGAGCCTTCTAGATTCTAGATTCAATGCGCCCCCTTTCCACAACACTTTCAATCTTGGGTGAGTCATTCAACCTTGCAGAGCTCGGTTTCCTCTTATGCAAATCGAGGGTGCAATATCTGCTTTGTGTTAGGGTTATGGGGAGAAGAGATGATAATAAAAATGGACTTGGGACATCTATCCTGGTGTTGACCCTCAATAAACATTCATTTCCTTCTCTCCTTTCTTAATCGAAAGGCTCTCTGGATGCAATGAGGGATTTTACAGGTTATGATTTGCATGCCTGGTAAATTTAGTGGTGAAATCACAGAGCCCCAAGGAGCAGATGGTGGCCATCACGAGTCAGATGGTGGCCATCAGGAGGAAAACTCACCTATGGGTGGTATCAATTCACAAAATCAACAAGAGGGTCCCAAGTCAGATTATAGCATCTATCCCCTACCCTGAAGTTCAAACAGAACAAAACCCAGGGAAGACAATAAAAATTGCAAATACTAAGCACTCTAGCTATCCTAGATTTTAGAACCTTCCAGTCCTCATAAAGCACTAAAATTTCACCAAATAACAGCTTCAGCGGGCTCACAGGAAGTGGCTCACCACAGCTCCCCCTTCCTACCTAACATATGGAATACCTTCCAGGCAGTCTGTACATTACAGAGCACGAGAGGTAAAATTCAAATTGCAGCCAACGAAAGACAGGAAGCCCTCCTCAACTTGAGATGGAGTATTTAAAGCACATTTACTGATGTTCAAGTCTCTTATCCTGTAATAAGATGTCTTGGCATCTTATCACATTGACATCCACACATTGGTGACAGTGTAATGGCGAAGAGGGTAAATATATGCATAATATGTCTAATTTTGCTTTTTCTTTCTGGTTTTCAACTGTTTTTTTCCCTTTATCTCCTGTTGGATGCATGCCTACTGTTAAATGCGAAGATGAGCGCCCTCTGGTGGCTAAACCGACCTTTCCCTTTCCTGAGGCACCCTGAAACACATGATCTTGTCCTGTGAAATTCCTATGCCCTGTTCCAATTAGCAATTTTCTACTGTCCCTCCTCCTGTGTGAGCCTGCTCTTCACTCCACTTGTGCCCCCCATCCTTGAGATGATGAGATATTGTGTTTTCAATCTCTCGGATGTTCTGCTCGTACTCTGCATTTAGGCGAATATTCGAATCTACTTTCTGAAAAGAAAAAAAAAATGCGGTTTTAGAAATTTCATTTTCAGACACTTATCTGATAAATATTTATTGGGCATCTACAACAAATCAAAAGAAATACTGTAATACACACAAGGAATTTAAAAATATAACCTCTAATTGCAAGAAGCTTGCAGTAGAGGACAGAAAAGGAAAGCCTTGATTTTTCTTTAAAGCTTTATGTGTTAATTTCCATAAAATTTGTTTTATCAAATGCGTAAGTGTTCTTATCAGAGGTATGCTGTTAGGTCTCTGGGAGTGAGTTCTGTCTCTTGGGACTGGTGTTGTTACCAGAGAGTGGCTTGTTATAAAGCAGGTCAGCTTCTCCCCTGTCACTCTCTTGCAAGCCTATCTACTCTTTGCACTTGCTTGCTTCCCCTTCTGACTCTCTGCCATGTTGTGACACAGGATAAGGCCCTTACCAGAGCCAAGAAGATGCTGGTGCCATGCTCTTGGACCTCTGAAACTGATCCAAAATAAACTTCTTTATTTATAAGTATTCTAGTTTCAGACATTCTGTTATAGCAACAGAAAACAGACTGAGACAATGGTCAATACATGCACATACTATAAAATAAAAAATGTACAAGAGGGAATGCATAAAAAGGTACTTCTTACCACCATATAACCTACCTACCCAATTCCCCTCTTCAATAGCACCTACAAGTCTCAATCTCTTGGTCATGCTTCTAGAGATACTCTGTTGCATTATAAGAATATGCATATTTTTTTCCACAAATGAATGTGATATTTGGCATCTTACTTTCACACCTTTTAGTACATATTGCTGGAAATTCTAAATCAGCATAAAGAGGGCTGCTGTATTCTTTTTAAAGAAATACAGAAAATTCTATTATATGCATATTACTGTGATTTAATCAGTTCCCTATTGATAGAAATTGAGATGGTTTCTAATTTTTCACTATGATAAGTTGGCACGGCAATAAGTATCTTTATGCAGACATCATTTTGCACAAGTGCCAGAAAATACTTAGAATAAATTCCTAGAAGTGGATCAAAGAATATGCATATTTTTACTTTTGATAGTGATTGCCAAATTACTCTTCATAGAGGTTTCACCAGCGTCTACCATCCCTGACAAAACATGAGGCTCTGTTTTCTCAAATCCTCAGCAACAAAGCGAGTTATAACTTTGTGTTTTCTCTTTACCAGTCTCAGGGGTGGAAATTATATCTCCACACAAGTTTAACTGACATTACTCTTACTTTGAATGAGGTTGAGCATCATTTCACACGTAAGATAAACCTTATTATTTATTTATATGCTCTTTCTACAAACAGACTTTTTATATTGTCTATTTTTTTTTTCTGCGTGGGTTTTTCTCTCTTTGAACTGTGGGAGCTTGGGGCAGGTAGTCTCCAAGATGGCCCCAGTTGACCCCCAACCTCCCAGATGGTACTGCTGTTGTCTGTGCACCCAATAAAACATGGCGGACACGGTGGTATAAAATTTCCAAGATTAGCTTATAGAAAATACTCAGCTCTTGTCTTGGTGACTCCCTCCAGCTCCCTCTCTCCAGGGGAAGCCAGCTGTCATGCCATGAGCAGACTGATGGTGAAGACCATGTGGTGAGGAACAGAATCTTCCAGAAAGCAGTCAGTGAGGAGCAGAGGCCTCCTGCCAGGACTTGAATAGATGGTCTCAGAAGCAGCTGCCAGTCTCAGGCAAACCTCCAATGTCTCCACCACAGCTTCCTGCAGTTTCTGAGCCAGAACCACCCAGCTGGACTGCCCCAGACTCCAGAAATAGGGAAATAATACCTGTTTGCTGCTCTCGAACGCTCACCGTTGTGGTAACTTTGTACACATCAATCAATAATAATATGGAATTCTATTATATTAAGGAAAGCCGTCTTTTTGCTTATGCGTGAGCTTCCTTAGGTGAATTTTAAATATTTTCCCCAGTCTGTTGGGTTGCTAGTGGTCTCCTTAGTCACTTCTTTTTCACTTTTTTCTTTCTTGACAGGTAGGATTTTAAATTTTTTACATAATGAGGCCTCAATTGAGGGAATTATTTTTATACCTAGAAATGATGGGAAATGAGACTACAAACAATATTTCGAATTTCCCCCATTTCCAATAATAAAGAATGAGGTCAATTGGGCCAACCCTCTTGCTGGTATCAATTTAAAATAGTAGATAAAATAATTTCTCATCTCCTTAAAAACACCCAAGAAATGGCAGAGATAGGAGGGAATTATCAGACCAAAATTTAAGAGACTCCAGAAAC